GTCAATTTTTTCTCGCCACGGAATTTTCCAAACTAATATTCTTATTAGAAAAAACCCGGATGCAATAGTCGCTCTGCTATGTTACAGGCTTCGGATAGTGCTGCACGGCTCATGCCAACTTGCAAATTTTTTGCACAGCAACTTGTAAATTTTGCTTCAGGAAGAATTACTGGAAATTGAAAATTCCTATATTGAAATGTTCTTAAAACTCTTTCAATTGGTGACCAATAAGAGTGCAAATGATTTGTTTTTTGCTCTTGTTTGCGCTCCCACAGTTGGCCAGCTTAGTCGGATATTAATGTAGTCGCTCGCTCTCAGATTTGAGTAAAGCAACCTTATAGATTGTTGGGATTATTAATTATTTCAGTGGAATAACTATTATTTATTTATTGGAATAAATATAAATAATAATAATAAGTATATTATAATATTGGTGCAAAAATTCATATTTCATCAACTGGTGGAAACTGCTTTAAATCACTTAATACCATTATTGAAAGTCGCAAAATACATATTATTATTTCATAAAATTAACTTTAGACGGAGATCTAAATACGCTAACATTTTTAAGCTTTGAGTGCATAGTGTTGATTGCGTCGTTGCTTAGGGGTCTCAACACCGTTGAATATTAGTTTACTGGAAGAGAAAACACGGAATGTGAGCCGACCAATTCCAAAGGCTGCTTTTCTTAAAACTCCTGATCTATTATAACATCATGGAACACCCGTCATCGGCAAAGTTCTCCCGCTTTTTATCATTATTTTTTTCCTCGTACTCTTCTTCTGTTGAATGAGCATTGATCGACTTGGAATTTTTATATTTGGCAGCAAATTCAACTAGGTACAAAAAATTCAATTCGTCCTGTCTCTGAACATAGTGATCTGAAAATTAATCTTTTGAATCTTAAGGGGAGTTTCTAAATTTCTATTGGCTTTTACCATCCCAACTCTTTAATCATGATGCGAAGTGGTTACAAAAATCTCGCCATGGTCATAATTTGTACGTAGATCCTGACATGGAGTCCAAGTATATTGTAGAAGTCTCCTGCGCAAATGTTTCTGTTCCATTGATGACTTATTACCGAGAAGTTATTACTAATGACCTCGTCGGCAACTACGCTATTATTGAGAAACTCCTCTATTTGATTTGTTTATGTATTTTATTATATAACCACAGCTTCTAAAATATGTTGAATACCCATGTCTACTTTTTATAGTTTCAATATATCTTCATTAAATGCATGCAACATTTTGTCAGAGTATTTTCCCCGAGAAAATATTTAGGGCTTTTTAGGAGTCGATCTCAGTGCAAAGTTATATCCAATATAATCGGTATTTATTGTGCATAACAACTATCAAGATGATATAAGCTTAAACTGCAGCGCCCGAAACAAAAATATCTAATAGCATATCTTGATGCCTATTAATCGGAATCTCGGTGTCTATAAAAAGGTAAAATGTTTTAAGTCAATTGCTTTACCTCGAAGGGTAACCAATTTCCTCTGCAAGATATAGATATATCTGTAGGACCTATCTTAATATTTCCAGGTATTTATCCCGGGCAGAAAAAAGTCTACGCTGCCTTTGCAAGTCCCGTTGTTGCTCGCGATTTTCAGATGAAATTCTGTAGCTCCCTGGCGTTCTACAGCGGGGGTACTCCATGTTTTGCCGCCGAACAGCTTGTTTTGCTGTATTTTGCGACTGCTGTAGAGCTCGCATATCCTCATTATGTCTTTGCGTTGCGCCAGCTGCTTCATCAAGATCAGTCGAAACCGATCTTTTCTTTTTTTAGATCGGGCCCATGCGTCACAGTTACGCTCTACTACGCGAAGATCAGCGTTGTAGTCACAAGATCAGCGTTGTAATGACTGATTGGTGATGGACGCACAGCCCAAACCGTAAGAGCTAGGAAGCTCAAATTTTCACTGTAGTTACCTTATGTGATGAAGGTGCACGTTAAGACGGGGTTTCGGGAAATTCCACCCGCAAGTATGGAAAAATCGCGAAAAACGTTTGTATGAAAGTTTTTTGCTAACCTCTTTTGGCCTCAAACTCATTTTCAAAGATCTTTGCTCAAATTCATTTGAGGGGTGTTTCACACTTTTCCAAAAATCCATTCCTCCTTGGTGGAAATGGGAGTCAAAGATTTGGTTGGTTACATTTCGCGCTCAAATTCATTTACAAGGATCTACATAAAAATCATTTGACACGTGTTTCACATTTTTCGCAAAATCTAAATTTCTTCGGTGGAAAGTGCAATTTAAAGATTTTTTTGGTGAATTTTAAGTCGTGTCCGATTTGCATCAAACTTATTTCAAAGCTCTACAGAAGAATATAATGAATACGTCCTTCAGCGATTTGGAAAATTCCACTCGCAACAGTGGTAAATTGGCGGAAAACGTTTGTATGAATGTAGTTTGTTTACCGTCCGCACAGTTTCAAAATCCTTTCTAAAACTTTTTGAGAACAGTGATTTTATAACATATGTGCCACGGGCAAGGCCGGGCTATACCCGCTAGTATAATATAAATTTGTTCGGTTATTTTATTGTTAGCTTCTATTATATATAATATATATTATAATATTAATTAAATATAAATATGCATTTAAAAAATACAAAACCATAAATTAAACATTTTTTAAGAGACTACGTTTTTGGAACGAGCTTGCGATTCTTCAGTTAGATAAAATCCACTACACAGCAGTTGTAGTTCCAACCTCCAGAATATATATTGCAAAGCAATGCCAGAGTCCATGTGTGTATACAAGCACGGACACATAACTCTCACATATACACGCACTTAAGTGAGGTCTAACGACGAGTCAACGCACACATTCACACACAAATGTTCACTAACACTGGCGGGGCATGACTGCCGATATTACGCGGCATAACCGATTATAGTTTGTAGTATTTAATTTCCGAAACACTAAAATAATCGAAGAACTTTTTTATTTGAGTTGCACTGAATCTTGTTAAAACGAAAGGTAACTTTTTGTTTTTTTTTTTTAATCTAACAAAAATAGTTATATAGTAAAAATAGTAATCGCAATCGACAATCGACGACCGCACAAATCGATGGCTGGTTGAAGAGTGAATGGCAATAGCTTTTGGCTTACAATGGGCGGCGAGCGCTTCCAGCAAATGCAAAACATCATTGAACTATCAATAATACAATATTATGATATTAAAGTTGTATAACTGAAAACATACATACAAGTGTACATACATTTTCAAACATATTACATATATACAAATTAATGTATTCGCGCCTCGGCTATACATTTTAATAATATTTAATAATAATTTAAAAATTATTTAAATGTGTTAATATAAGATTTTTATGAATAGATAACTGATAAGTACCAGAAAGTTGACTTGTGAGCATTAAAACTTTTTGGCCCGGCCAAGCACGCACACTTACACACTTTTCGATATGCATGAAAGCATTTATGCGATTGTGTGCCTGTTGGTTGTCTGCCTGTCCGATGCAAGTTTGACAAAATTTTAATTATTGGGATTTCTTAATTTGTAAGCCATTTATTAGCAAGTGCCGTACAACGATCAATTGGCAGTTGTACACGGCGACCGGACCAACTATTGATGGGTCTGGAATTGCTCTTCAGCGGCTCATCGTGGTTGGTGTGCGTTAACGGTGGTGCCGAGCATGATCCATGCTTGATTTTCAACTAACGACCATAAAAACTACGCTGATTCATGCCGGATTCTAGTTTGCTTACGGCCAGGACACTGCCTTAGATAACGCTCGCCAAGGTTAGTTAAGCGTATAGATGGAACTAAGTCCGCGTACGATGCGCGTTAGAGTTGTTAGGGGCGACTGAGATCGCGAAAATGAGTTCTACAGGTTCTCTCTTACCTAGAGACGAAAAGGATTAGTTACATTTAGTTTCAGTCTTAATTGCTATTGTTCTCCTATAAGCACCACTACTTTACTGTCCCACTGCAACCTCACTAGTGCGAACGCCTTAGCGTCTTTGTCCTCTAGAGTTTACCTCGTGGTGAGTACTTCTTACCTAACCCGAATTTCCCTTCGCTTATGTTAAATTCTTCATATACATTTACATCCTTATACATATTGTGACCCTGCGTTACACAGTGTGTCTAATGATAAACAAATATGTATGTGTTGTAAGTATATATATATATATATGATATATATATCTAGCCATGTCCCACTGTCTGTCCGTCCGTCCGTCCGTCAGTCCGTCCGCCCGTATGTTTGAACGCAAGAATCTCAGAACCTATAAGAGCTAGAGACTTGATTTTAGATGTAGGTGCTTCTAGTGCCTGGGCAGATCGAGTTTGTTTCCGATAATCGATAACTTACTCCGTTTCCAAGCAATCCAAGATCTTTGCGTTTATTAATACGGACGGACGGACAGACAGACGGACATGGCTAGATCGACTCGGCTATTGGTGCTGATCAAGATGATATATACTTTATGGGGTCGGAGATGCTTCCTTCTGCCTGTTACATACATTTGGATTTTGCACAAATACAATATACCCTTATACCCATTTTTAATGGGTTCAGGGTATAAAATAGGAAATGCCTGCTTATAATTGAATAAAATTTAATAGACAATGCTACATGTGCATACAATTTAAGACCTAATTAAAATAAGTTGATGAACAAAGATAATGAGCATTTCTACCGTTAGAGCATTAAGTGTGATCGACTTTGGTACTTGCAGATTTGTAAAGCATGTTTTGGAAACTATTTCAGAGAGCAGCACATATGAAGATATAAGCTAATTAAACAACTGTTAAATAGCCTTTAAAAATATTTTCGAGAAGACGATTTTAATAGAATAGTGTAAGAAGAGAATGGTTTTATTTCTAGCATCTTAAAGTCTAACGCAAGACATCTTTAGTGGATTTAAAAAAAAATTGTATGTTTTTACATAATGTGAGCCCGTACATCGCCGGAGAATATCTTTTAGTTTCATTAAATAGCTTATATTTATTAAGGACCTTACCATAGTTGATGAATAGAATTACAACCAAATGATATAACATATTGATGAATTTATGCCTTCAGGGGGCAGCACATTAACAAATGTTTTTATCTGAAATAACATATGTGGAAAGATTATTAATGTATACCAATGAATAAATCCCAAAAATAATTTTTATATCAAATTTAATTCTACAATTTATAATTCTTTTGAGGAAGATGCCTTAAATCGCTAATCATGCAATGCATAGATACACCAAACAGCGTTTTAATCGTATCAAGATTCATCGCAAAGAGTGAGCACCATGGGTGTCTAAGACCATTTTAGTGTGCTTAGATAGAGAAAGACTGCTGAGAGTGGCAGCCGAACGTCCAATATGAAGCCGCATCTCGCTCAGCGCAGACGTGGCTGCGGCTAATGGTTTTTCTTAATATACACTAAAATGGTCTCAGACACCCGTAAGGCTCGATCGTTACCCGAACGCCACATGCTGTGCAGTTAAAATTGAGTCAATTCTTTTAGTTCCCATAACCTATAGGAAACTCAATCTTAATTAACTTTGAACTTTTGAATTTTATATTCTGTTTTATGGAATAAATAATTCATCTAAGTATTTATTATCAACAAAATTGTACGATAATTTGATGTTCCCTGAGCTTTTGAGATACAGATTTTATTTGATCTAAAAGTAATCTATGATTTTAAACAAACTAGATCTGCGTGTGCCATCCATTATGAATAGGTAAAAAATGTACATTGTTTTGTTACACAAATGAATATAGGAAGCAGAAAAAAGCATATCCGACCCCATTATATATCCTTGGTCAGCAACAATGGTCGAGTTGATCTAGCCATGTTCGTCTGTCTGTCCTTCTAACAGTCTGTCCGTTTTTCCGTGAGTATGTATGATCGCATTACAAGCACGCGTTACAAGTAACAAGTATTTAAAAGTAACTAGTTGCTGCTGTTGCATTTTCAAAACTAACAGCGACAAAAAATCATCCTATGATATGCACGAACAGTAAATCAAGTGTCTATTTTTTGGTAGTTGTTTACTTAAAAGATTGCCACCGAAAATTTCACTTAGAGATTACTACGATAATACAACAAATGAATTTGTATACACTTTACACGAAGATATACTTTTCAGTATTTTTTATACATATCAAGAACTTGAACAGGTTTTTAATTTTTATGATTGCTGTCTTGTCTCCCCTGCTTCCTATTATTATACCTGTTGTAGTGTTGAAGTCTTTAAAACAGATCTGTACTCAGGTTGTTACTTTCGAACTAGTCTAAGAGCTGAGTACTATTTCTCTGGCCTGCACTCAGGTTGTTCCTTGCGTACTCGTCGAAGAGCTGAGTATTGTGTCACAGGCCTGTACTGGGGTTGTTTCTCGTCGAAGAGCTGAGTACTGTGTAACAGTCAGTATTCTGGTTCCTTTCGTACTCTTCAAAGAGCTGATTACTGTGTCACAGGCCTGTACTCAGGTTGTTTCTTTCGTATTCGTGGAAGAGCTGAGTACTGTACGTTCTGGCTGTAAAGCTAAAGTCTGTGTAACTGATGTGTACTTGCCTTGCAACTATATGGCCTCTTAACTAACTAACTAACTAACTTAACTAAAAATTTGTAAAACATATTTCTCTGCAATATTTAATACGGGCGTGCTTTTTAGCTTTGGGCTGCACCGGCTGGCTCATCGGTCCTCAGGGGCAGTCTCATTTCTCGCAGTAGGCAAAATCCATATCAACGCCGCTGCATTAAACATCTTTAGCGAACGAAGTATACCTGATACTCTTCTTCAGCAAGACTCGCCATTTAATCTGACAAAACACTGACAAAAACACTGTTATTGAGACTCCTAAAGAGGTTATTAACCCAGATGTTGTAAGTGCAATACATTGCGATTTACCAACTCTGACTAGTTCTCAACACAGTTTAGTGCTAAACTTCCCGGCAACCAAATTTTGGCAGGCATAGCAGGCAAAAACGAGCAGTTAGAAATAATAACTGCCGAGCACAACCGTGCACATCGAGCCGCTCAGGAGAACGTCAACAAGTCATCCGTGACTACTATTTTCCAAAAATGAGCAAGTTGGCCAATGAAGTTGTTGCAAACTGCAAAATTTGCACCAAAGCCAAAGAGTTTATTATGTCGACATAATAAAGACTGGTGAGCTGGACAAATTATCTGATCCACGCGCGCCTGCCTCTGTTGCTTCCGCGGCACTGGCGGAAAAACGTTCCACACTGGACCCCTTCAAGATCCTTCGGTATAGCGCCTGTTCCCGGGTCGGCACGATGGATTCTCAGCGCCGACGCACTGAAGGGCTCTTCGGTGTGAATCATTGGCGGTCTGAACATATCGATGATGCCTTTGCCCCCAACAATTAACAAACATTCAAGCAACCGTCCAGTGCTCAGTTCGCCAGTTCGCCGATTCGACCGTTGAACAGCATCCAGGAAATGCTATTTATTACCTTGCAGGCAATTTGGTTTCTGTCGTACTTCTGGCCACTTTTGGGATTTGCTGTGTTACAGGTGCAGAGAAGGTTTAAATCTATATCGTTCCGTGATCACGTAGATATCTGGCAGGATCTGTCTTCATCGCGGCTCTCGGATCCAACGTCACGCTGCGCGATCATGGGCCACCAATTTATGCCACATAAGTCATCACGTGAGTGGATCCTAAAGCCGAGGGAGCCCTTTTACGTAAGCGCATTGCTGGTTTTTCTTTTCTTTGAATTCTTTACCGACTTCAAGGAAGCAGTGTGCTTCTAAATTGGGCGCCATATTTTCAGGGACATGCTCTTTATCTTTGGGCCACGCCGGATGGGTCATCGGTTCTCAGGGGCAGTCTTATTTCTCGCAGTAGGCAGAATCCATATCAACGCCCCTACATTAAACATCTGTAGCGAACGGAGCTATGCAAAACTATAGCAAAAGGAACTACTAAAATGAACCATAAACGCCTGAGACTGAAAAGTGAAGTTTTCCCCAAATAGATCACCCAGTTCCAGACCCAGGCGTACCAGCTCTACCTGAACGAACTTCTGATCATCGTCTGCCTCATATTGGCCACCTGTTGGCCTTAATCAGCCTGCGTAGGCAGTAATGTCTTCTCTCCCTTTTTCAACATCAATTATAATTCCTTGCATGTTCTTATAATGATGAAAATAAATACTAATTTTCTACAATTTGATCTTTTTAAAAAAGTGCGGAGCCGTGGATTTCGAACCGGACTATATATCTTTTATTTTTCTTTATGTGCGCAGTACTTTGATTTCACACGTTCAAATTGACAATAAATTCACGCTTTAGAAGCAGATGAGCATCTGCATTACAATGCTGCCGCAGAACAACTAACAAACGAAGCTGATGCAAATTGCAAAATTTGTCAGATCGTCTGCCTCAGGAACTGGTACTCGGAGGAACCCCTATTCCGTTACATGTAGTCGAAATATTCCCTATAGATATAATCCATCTATCTCCCGCAGAGCTCGACGCAGAATTAATTATTAAGATAATGTCAGATAGCTAATATATAATTATCTTTTCTTACGGACACCCCAGGGTCTGAATTATGCTATTTTTTTCACGGTAACAACGGCTAAACTGACCGACTGCTTGAACGTGAACTACATCCGGGTTATGGAGAAAGACACGACAATTTTGAAAGAATTTGCATATTTGAAGTATTCGACTAACTTAACGCGGAATTGTTAAGCAAAAGAAAAAACTATCGGCATGCTAGAAGCATCAATCTATTAAGCATCGTTTTAAAGGTAATAGCTGGGACTACAGACTTTTATTACTTCGAAAAACCAAAAATTACACGATATAAACTCATTGAATTTGAAAATATACAAAAACACATAAATAAACTAAAAAAAAAACAGTAAACATTCTACTAAAAACATTCCTCTCAAGAAACAGGATATTGATTTCAAAAAAATGAAACTCTTATGATATTCGATCATTTTTCAGAGACTAGTACTTATTATTAAAATATAAAAAAGCGTTTGTCTAACAGGAAACCATTACTGACTTGATGGAAGTAGCCCAAATCAAGGTTCCATTAAATAACAATTTTTACATTTATAAATAAATATCTATAGCCATGTTTATTATCTAACAAACTTTTATACCCTGTACAACACAAGACCACCATTCTCAACCTTACCGACGAGCTATCTACGATAATGAAATATTATCAATTACCCTATCTGGCGACATTGTACCACTCAGCCCAGACATCTCTAGACACTGATGCTCATCGATAACAGCGTCATCGTCATGAATGAAGAACCCGCCGTGATCACGATCACACAGCAGTGTCAACAATGCTCAATATTATAGGCCACCATCCTTACATTCCCGCATATTACGAGATTGTTTCCGATAATGAATACCTTTCACCACCAACCATGCAATGCATAGATTTACGACATAGCCTTTTTATCGAAACACGATAAATTGCAACAAGGGAACCCCAAGGGTGCCTGTAAGTGTAAGTACCGCTTCTTTAAATAAACAGCTGATCGATTTGCTTTAATGTAGTTAAGCACCGCAAAGTTTTTCTTACAAAACTCAAAAAATGCGCTCGATTAACCATCGCAAAAAAAACAAAATGTTCGGGGCGAATTTGCACAATTTTGAAAAATGTGTGAAATGTGTTTTCTTTCTACAGTCCGTATTTTACACATTTTGCAAAAATGTGACATTTTCAGAAATGTGTTAAGTGGACAGACGCTATAAGAAATGTGTTTAGTGGACAGAGGCTATTAGTGCTCTGATATATTTATACCCTGAATCCATTAAAAATGGGTATAAGGGTATATTGTATTTATGCGAAAGGCAAATGTATGTAACAGGCAGAAGGAAGCATCTCCGACCCCATAAAGTATATATATTCTTGATCAACATCAACATCAATCTGTCCGTCCGTCCGTCCGTCCGTCCATATGTATGAACGCAAGGATCTCAGAACCTATAAGAGCTAGAGACTTGCAATTTTAGATGTAGGTGCTCCTAGTTCCCGCGTAGATCGAGTTTGTTTCCGATAATCCATAACTTACTCCGTTTCCAAGCAATCGATATCGACATCCTG